ACAAGTGGAGATCCCCGCAGCTTTCTTCTGTAGTTATGAATAAAGGGCCTGGCTGGTTCCCGTGGAACTGGCTTTGTTCTTGCGGGCGTCTACCCGAGATGTGAATATGGTATTTAGTATTTTCCAAGTTGTGGTGCATAAATGATGCCATAACAAGTAGACCTTCACTGGTCTGAGGACCCACGTTATATTCTTTCTAAGTTTTAACTGAAAATTTGACAGCAAAGACCGTCAGAAGGTCTGTGAGATTTTGGTGGTGGTCCATGGTCTTGAAAGTTTGGAAGGCACTACTTATTACATCCTTTGGAAGCCATCCTTTCTTACAAAGACTTCATATTAAATATGTTTTCAAACTTTTTCTTACTTTGTGTCTCATCCAGCTAAAAAAAAATCTAGTAATGCTTTTCAGGATAAAGCAGTTAATTCTATTCAATGTGATATCTGATTTGTGCAGGGAAAATAAAAAGCCAAATGTCTACAAGTGTATTTGGGAAATCTAGGGTGCTTAGAAATAAAGGAATTCCTGTTGCCACTGGAACAGAAGGCTAAGTGCTTGTATATATGTCTCGTTTTAACTGATGTGTGTGCAGCAGCATTGCTTTTTGCTTGCTATTCCAAAACACCTGTATGGTGTTCCCTTAAACGTGTCGATGACCTAGTGTTTTTTCAGAAACTCTTTGATTGGGTTAAAAACCTCACAAAGAGAAATAACCTTTCTTTGCTGTAATTGGAGGACTGAAAACTGAAGGATCCAGAAATTGTGATGACCGCTCTGCAAGCTTGTTGCTTGAAGTGCTTTTGGGCATCTTCTCCCAAAACAAATGCTTATCAATACACGGTAAAGAGCGTTCTGACGTGCAGATGATGGGCTCTGTATCTTTGTGGCTCAGGGAACTGCCTTGGTGGGGCATCAGGTTCACAAGTTTCAACCTTGATTGGTTTTTTTTGTTTGGTTGGTTTTGGTTTTTTTTTGATGAGCCATCTTCAAGTGGCATCATCTTCATCATTCCTGATCCATCAGTTAAGTATTACAGCACATTTTAAATGCTGTGGAAATGGTTTGCTATTTGTAAGTGGATTTAGAGTGCAGCTGTTTGTTTATTTATAGGGATATTCATCAAGGCCAGAGAGTCAAGACGTATTTGGTGTGGCAAGGTTGAGTGTTGCCACATGCAGATCCTCATGCAGAGCTAGTCTTAAGTGCTGGTTTGTCTGTGAGTGTAAGTACATAAGCATTAGGTATTCATTATCTTAATTGCTACTTTGTGCTTGACTGGCAGGAGGAATACACAACTGCATTGTGGAATGACAGGATGCAGTTACAGATCTTTCTGATGAATGCCATCCTGTAAAGGGACACTTAATCTTGGACAGAATCCTAAGTGTATGGATAGAAGTGATGCGAGATTAAAAAAGTCTGTCAAGTGACTGAAAAAATGTTGGGGTCTTCACTGAAATCACACATGTGACTTCTACCTTCCCTGCCAGGCTGAGAAGTACTGTGAAGTGCTTTTAAAGGAGCATAGCTCCGTTTGTATTTGTGCAATTAAAACCCAGTGTTTTCTGGCCATTACATGGTACCAAATTTGACTTTATCATTATGAGCTAAATTGTGAGTAAATTTCATGCCGCATGGTAAGGTCACTTTGATTCCTTTCTGCTTTCTCCTTTGTAATGCAGCATCAGTCAGACAGCCTGATAAATCCTGGTAATTATTTTGTGACACAATGTTCCATGTTTTGCACACCACCACTTTACTGAAGGAATTCTTGTACTTACACTAGGCAGACACACGGGTGTTTGATTGATTTGCTACAGGAAATTTCCTTTCTAGTAGTAGTTATCATATTCAATACAACAAAATAGTGTATTTTATTTTAGTCTGCACTGAAGGAATAATTGTGGCATCTTGGATTTATCAGTGTTTTATGCAAGACGTTTATATATATATATATTTTTTTTTCCCCTCCATTTGCTCAGATATGTGCTTGAGAAGAATTGACATCAGAAAGGAGCGACTGTCACGGATTCTTCATTTTAGTCAGGCTTTGGCTTTCCTGGCTTTATGTATACAGAAATGTTGAAGTGTTGCTAATCCAGGACATGTGCTTAGTAAAGTTCAATCATTGTAATAGGGAAATTGGTGTATCCAGTTTAAAGCTGCTCATATTGACATAGCAGTGTCGGTGAGTGGGAAGAAGGGAATAAATATTAAGACACCTGTAAGGCGTCTTTTTTTCTTAGCATAACCCCATCCATAGCTGTTCCAGAGTCAACAGGAGCTGATGGAGCCTTTATGGAGAACACCAAAGTGCCTCTTGGTGCCTGACTGCAAGTGGGGGCTGTTTCTTTGCCACCGCCTGCCTTCTGGGGACTCCCCTAAAGGCTGTGTTTCTGCAGGCTGTGTGAACTGGCGTAGATTCACGCCTTTGCCAGCAGTGGCCCAGCCCCATCCCACATGCTAGCGCATCTCTCAGTGCCACCACTGTGCTGATAATTGATTACAGTGCTGATTTTTGCCATTTTCACGTCCCTCAGTTTTTTCCCTCCTCCTGGGCTACATCTCGTGCAGATCCACCTCCCCAGTCTGGCTCAGTGCACGCCGTACGGACAGTTATCCTGGCACGGCGAAGGAGGTGGTGCCTATGGGTGGTTTGGCAGGATGAGGGGGCCCAACAGGTTAGGGGCCTGGGGTAGGACTATATGTATTTACTGTGATGGTTCTTGCTTGCATTTTGTTGCCATACCCGAGATGATCTACTAAAACAGAATTTCGCTCAGACAGTAATTGCAACATCAACATTTCAGGAATAAGACAGTGGTAAGGAAAAGTACTTCTTTCTACTTGATACAAATGCTGCATTTTAATGGCAGTGTGCAGACTATCTGTTCCTTGTAGTGGTCTGAGGAACCAGTTTTAGGCTGAGGTCTGAAGGGATGAATGAAGGGGAAAATGAAGAAGGGTTTCGTGTCCTAAAATACTGCTGATGGGGGAAATAACAAATACACCTTCTAATGGGTAAATGCAGTGTATTCTAGCCAAAAGAGGGAGAATCTCTGTGGCCTGAAGGGTATTTCTGGCTTACTGAGCGTAGTCTCTTCAGTTAATAGAAAGAACTACCTGGAGAGGGTGGTTCAGAGCAGGTACCTAATTTAGCCACTCCAGGTTCCTGTGTGAGGAAGCCTGTGTCTGCCCACTAACCTCCCTAGGCTAACACTGGCAGCTGTGAATAGCCCCTGGCTTTCAAAACCACATGCTGGATGACTGGTCTGCCCTGCTGATAGTAAATTTGTTACAGGGTGGGTATCATCTGCTTCTTCCGGCCAGTGCAGAAATAATGCCAGGAGGAAAAAGGGGGATTAATCTTTCAGGTGAGCACTTGAATAAAGTATCTGTTATTTAAAACTGTAATACCTAGTTTTGTCAAGCTTCTGCCTTTTGATTAGTAAAGGTGTTTTTGTTAGACTGATGGATAACCATTCTATTTGGTGTTTCTCTTTCTCTTTTTTATTTTTTGTACTTTTCTGCAGCGCACTAAGGAGATTAACTTGAGAGGTGTTTTCTCTATCTGCCAGCGAAGTCTCCTTCTGACTAGCAATACAAAGTTAAATGCTACCGATGGGATTCTCTTTTTATTCCCTCAATCCATTTTGCTGCTAGTTTGTGAGCTGTCTAAACTCAGATTCCTCCTTGCATGCATCGTGTCAGTATGAGACGTGCTAGAAGCTAGTCCTAATTAATTGTGCCCGGCATTTGTAGGCTACTAGAGGTTCACTTGAACATTTTTTTAGAGCATTTAGTGCACTGAAGGCATCAGACTGCAATTAAAACAACTTCTGTGGGCATCCGTGAGTTGTTAAGGTTACACGCTGTTCGTGGCATCCCCCGAGTAAGAGCTAGTTACACTGGGAGGCTTAATGCGAAGAAAATCTCAGTGCATGTCCTCTCTCTGTGTGTGCTTTGTTGACTGTGGGAAGGTGGAGGAGGAGGGGTAGGAAAGGGCACTAGAAACACTTTCACAATTAGCTCTCCTTACCCTCCAGACTTAACGGAATTGGGGTTTGTACAGCTCTAAGGGTTTCTGACAAAAATTCTCTTTAGAATGTAAAACCGCCTGCTTGTCGCCCCAAGACACGAAGCCTCCAGCGGCGTGGCTTAGCGTTAGTGTTTTGTTGGCCTCCCTGAGAGAATGTAGATGTGCTGGTATGTATCTGTCCCGGATTGCTTGGCTAGAAACATATGGGCATGCTCATGAAACAAATCTTCAACGTGCAGCAGATGTGGTGGAGAGCGCCCTCGGCGCGAGGAGCACGTCTGTGCTTTGTAATTTATATGGGAACTCCAGACCAAGACCACGCACCCTTAAATGCCCCGTAGACAAAATTCCTATATGCAGAAAGGTGTTGTGTGTGGGAAAACGCATGAAAATAGTAGTCCTTAAATGAAAAAACCGTACCCAAGATGAATAAGCAGCTTAAGGTCTTGTTAAACGGCCAGGTTTTTGGATTTTGTTTTGTGGGTTTTTTTTTTAATGTTTGTTTGATTACAGCTCTTAGAAAGTGTTGGGGTTTCTTGGTATTTCTTTTACATCATTCAGTTGCTAAAATAAGTTGAAGTTGTGATAAATGCCGCTGTGTATTGTAGTTTTTGTGATGTAATTTACATCTACTGTACAGTGTACTCTGTTCTGCATGGTAACTTTCAAAGTAACAGATTTGGAAAAAAAGGTGGTTTTTTTATAAAGTAGTATTTTCCTGAAGTCAATCATATTATTTGAAGATATGGTGCAGAAGTAAAACAAATCTCATTGTTGGAATATTTCTGGTTTTGTGGAGATTTATCTCTGTGTTTAGGGAGCAGAATTTGTATAAAGTCAGTCTTTACATTTGTTTTCCACGGTGTAGACTGAGCAGGTAAGATTTCCACTTCAATGTCCTTCTCTGTTTTAGCTTAGAAAGCACTGATGCAAAACACTGGTGTGTTTGTGGTTCTGTTCCAGCTGTTCTCCGGCATTAAGGACGGGGAAGGCTTGCAGTTGTTCGAGCAAGGTCGTCGCACTGCACACAAGCAGGAGTGCCACACCATGGAGGCAGTGAGGCTGGTGGAGTTCCACCTGAAGCAAGTGCTCGTGAAGCTCATGGCTCACATCTTTGGCGACGGTAGGTTCATTTTTCCTGGACCGATGATGGCTGTGGGCATCCGGACTTCTGAGGAATGTTTGGACGCACAAAAAAAGCGCAAGGCTTAGGGGTGATGCTGGCAGCTGGTGTACTGAAACAGCCATGTGGGTTTTTTTCTAATGAGGGTTACAGTAATTTTAGGAGTCTACATTCATATTCTTTACTATTGCATTTTTGACTTGTTTGGTCAGAGTTTCAGCCCGCTGTTTTTTTAATGTCATAGTAACTGGCTATTGAATGGCCTTTTTGCTGTAACGTGTATTTAGGACAAGGGGTAACGGGTTTAAATTGAAAGTGGGGAGGTTTAGATTGGATATCAGGACGAAGTGCTTCACAGAGAGAGTGGTGAGGCACTGGCACAGGTTGCCCAGAGTGGATGCCCCATCCCTGGAAGTGTTCAAGGCCAGGCTGGACGAGGCTTTGAGCAACCTGGTCTAGTGGAAGGTGTCCCTGCCCATGGCAGGGGGGTTGGAACTAGATGGTCTTTAAGGTCCCTTCCAACCCAAACCATTCTATGGTTTTATGATTCTATATGTTATTGTTCTTTAGTACTGTTATATCCAAACCTTATAAAATTACTGAACACAGCCCAAGAGTCCCCTCTATTTTTCTGGGGGGGGGGGGG